CCTCTCAATGAACCAACTATTTTGCATTCCTTCAGGGTTAACAGTTCTGAGAAAATCCCTCAAGATCCATCTCGGATCCATGATTCGTGGCCATGGATCCGAGATGGATCTTGAGGGATTTTCTCAAAACTGTGAGCTCTGACGGAATGCAAAATAGTTGGTTCGTTGAGAGGCATATATTAGCCATGTTTTCCACCATAATTCCATGCTTAAAGTCCAATAATCTAGTGGCCATCTTGATTTTCGTGTTTGGTCGTCTGGGATCCGTGCCCATGTCTGCTTTCAAGACAGACTGTACAGTCCACAGCAGAAGTAATGTGGGATTTCAGTCATGGGTATGTTCTGCTTCTGAATATAAATAAATAAGTTTAAGTGATGATGGGTCAATAACCGAACGACATTTTTAATGGTTGTTTATGGATGAAACTTATGAAATAAGAACAAACTACTCTGAATCTATTTTTACATAGATGAATACATTTAAATATAATATTTTATTAATCAAGAATAAACCTCAACATAGAGGGATATAGGATTCCTCGTGGCTCACTCGTGGGGGATCGGATGTCTTTTCCTCGCGTGTTGCAGGAAAACCTCGCTCCTTCGTCGCTCGGTTTTTCGGTAGCCCGCTTGGGGGGGGGGGTATCCTTATCTTCCACTCGGAGCCATGAGGAATCCTCTATGTGTGAACTGTGATGCCGCGTGTTTGTTTCATCATCATTGCCCCCCATTCTGTATCTGACTCGAGCATGTAATAGCCGTATTTTTCCACGGATTTGCCTCACGATGTGAAATAAATAAATAAATAAATAAATTCTGAAGCTTAGGAACGATTAGCCAGACTACAATGAAACTTTGAATGTAGCTTATATGTATCGTCACCCTTGCAGTTGCAATTTTAGCTATTGACATCTTCTTTTCGATCACTCCGCATTAAACAATCGCCAGTCAAAGCCAATCGTTGAGATTGGTAAAATCCTACATTACTTTAGCGGTGGGCTGTACATGTAACACACATACACTACTTCTCCATACACTAGTTCACTGGTGCTCCACACGATCTCTAGATAACACGCGCCCCTCTAAATTATGACTTAGGCAGAGAGCTGACTCTATTCGTGCTGCACGATTGTTGAGTGGCTGATGGCGAGGTATGAACAAGCGACCACGAACGATGGCCGTGAGGCCAGGGGAAGACCTGCTGACCCAGGAAGGGTGGACACCATGGGCATTGGGTGATGAGGGATAGCCGTAATGGCCTCCGGCGGACCCGCTGAATAGTATCCTTCCCTCTCCCCTCGGCGGGGGAGCGCACAGCGGCCGATACTGGGTGCCCTCCCGGCGGGTGCCCTATCAGCCCTCTGATGCTGACGGATGGGATGGTCCGGCCCGACACCACCGTCCCCGGAGAACGCCACGGAGACGGTATCGCGCGAGAAACGCCGCTCACCATCCCGCCGGGTCACGACGGCCTTTATCTCATGAACTACGCCAGCTTTTGACTCATGGTGTACGCCAGTGTAACCCGACAGTAAACTCGAGTCATACGCACAGGCTTCAAGATAGGCAGTACAAACATAGGCACGTCGATGTTTATAACCGATATCTCAACATTTGCTGTACATACCTAATGCAGAGGTGATCATTAACTTCAAATTGATGTCTCTGTATTATGAGTTGCATCAGGCTGCGTAGCGTGCAGGTTTAATTGGTAAGTGGCCAATTAACCAATTATCACCCTTATTACTAATTTATTCCTACTTGCATATGCATCGCATAAGATACCTGAAGGCTTTCATTTTATGACACTCTTTTGCCACGATATTTCATAGCGCGTTTATCGGCATATGATTAATTCATGTATGCATAAGATTTCAATGTTTCATTATTGTAATCAGATACGGTAATCATTTCAAGCTAGAAATTGGCATACGTAAGCTAATAACGTTCTTAAGTTGAAATGAGTTAGGGGAGTTGCAATCACGCATCACGCTTAAAGAATATCATTATAATGCCACGATTTTGCATTTGAATCTAGCAGAACATTGCCGCTGCCTGATATTTCATATAAGCATAGGTATCGTTTTAGCTTCTTGCTCGGCAAATGCGATAATATCGAAATTCTCAGTTATAGCCTCAAAGCAAAAATGTTTTGATGCCACATCCTGAACTGGCTCTTAAAAATGGCGACATATGTTCACAAAAAAAAAACAGGCCCGACAGTATAGGTGTGACCAAGGCCATACATAACTAGGTGTGACAATATTTGACGGTAGAGCCGTAAATGTAGAGACGGCAGATAAGCCCGTAAATGGGACAGGAACGCGGAGCGGAACAGCACAGGATGGCCGAGGCGGGCACGGACCGGCGGGTCAGGAAAAGACGGGGTCGTCTGCCGTCCGGTCACGTACCGAACCGTGACGGAATGTCCTGACGCCGTCAGTGCCAGTGAGATGGCTTTCCGACTCAATGCCCGCTCCCAATAACGCTCCCTGACTCAGTGCTCCCCTGCGCGACCATATATAGACAGGGCATTGGAAAATCGGAGAAAATGACTGTAGTCTGTGTGGAATAACCATGTAACCATGGAGTAGTCCTACAAGCGAGTGGTGAATGCTTATTGAAGTGCTGGTAAAATTGACAATACACAATCAAGTTGAATACAATACTTTTTATGAATAACGCGATCAGTGTTACAATTTGCCGTATCAGAGGTAAATGGGGCTATTTATTACAGGATTAGGCTTTTAGAAATCAAATATCTCTAAAGATGCACTCGATATGACGCCAATATTTAAATGTGCTGAAAGATAAGGCATATTTTACATGCAACTTTACAGGAAAGGCATTTTCGTTCTACACGAATGCTTGCTCTTTTAGTGAAAATTAGGTACGATACGCTAAATTACTACGACATATCTGAAGTGACCTTGGCCTGCGGTTGAGCTACTTAGTATTTATGTGGCGAATGTCGTTGAAAACTGAAAGAAAACATCTTCTACTTTAAAAAGTGAGCATCTTTGCGAGGAGCTGTGCATGTCTTGCAACAAAATCCATCACCTCTCATATGCAAGCAAAATGAATATGACCAATGACCAATGACCTGCTGAATATGCTGTATATGCTGAAGCCTGTAACAACTTTGAACGACTTGGGTATGAATTCCCTTTTAGCCAGTGGTCGACGGCTCGGAGCACACAGCTACATCATCAACCAACTGCAATAAACCTGCTTATTACGGAGCGAGCGAAGCGAGCGTAGTCTTTCCTTAGATTAACGGAAATTTCTGAGTATGAGCGGCCGGCCGGCCGGCCGGCCGGCCGTGCGGACGCTTTTGCGAGGCTTATATCTCAGCAACCACTTGACCGATTTACATGCGGTAATTTTTGTAGGGTAGCTTCATTCCTTCTACCAAGTATTGGACTATTCCCGATGCATGTGGTTGACCCCTTATGCACGTGCCACGTGTAAAACGAAGAGGTGTCAGTTTTGTAATTGTTGCAATATCTCGGTAACTACTTGGCCGATTGCGCTGAAAGTTGGCATGTAGGTAGGCACCCACTAGGCACTGCATATCCATGTGCCAGAGTTGGGGTGCTGCTGCACGTGCGCACGTGCAGGGGTCGTTTCCAGATCTCGGGAACGGCTCGACCGATTGCGCTCAAATTTGGTACACAGTTAGGGACCGGTTAGTAGGGTGCCGTGCACAAGTCAGTTGGGAACCATTTTGCACGTGCGCACGTGCAGGGTGCCGCTTCCAGATCTCGAGAACGGCTGGGCCGATTGTGCCCAAATTTGGCACATCGCTGGAGAGCGGTTAGTAGGGTGCCGTGCACAAGTCAGTTGGAGGTACCCCCTCGCAATTTCGCACGTGCAAGGCCCACCCTCTCGCTCGCTCCGTTAGTCGCCCCGAAAGGCGTTATACTGGTGTAATAATAGTTCCTTAATACAGCTTAACAACGTTTCAAATGTTTCTTAACCATGCACTAATGACTGTTTCAGACTTGCTGTTGTTGACATCTGGGCAATTATTTATGGGGGAATATTATGTAGAAGGACGCTGTTCTTTCGTTCGATAACCTGACTGAAAGGATATGCGGTATGAATAAGCTCTCGGCTGCGAGTTACTCAAATCCAGTAGGTGCATACTAGTGATGTCAATTACGGAAAATCCTGATACCGATACCAAACCAAATACCAACAATATCCATGAAAAAAATACCGAAACCGAACCGACTTGGGAATATGAGGAAAATACCAACTTTTTACCAAATTCTCAGCATCTTTAACATTAGTGTGGACTCATAATACGAGTACCAACAAAATACCAAATGCACTCGCCTTGAAATACCAAATACCAAGTTGGCATCGGTTTGGTATCGGTATACCAAAAAGTTGGTATCCAATTGACATCTATAGTGCATGCATCATCATAAAATACATTTTTAGAAGTGACCTTATTGTTTTGAATATTTTTCTTTCACAATATTTTCGTAGCCATTATTTGATTTCAACCTACTGCACGTCTTTACTGACTTCCATCAAACCGGCTAATTAATGGCTTCCTAAACGTTCCAGTGTCTCGGTTCTGGTAAGTGAAAGCAATGATTGGATTTAAAAGAAATATCATCAGGGACAATGACATTGCACTGGTTGCCCTATACAATGTGGTCACGTACATGATGCGTGAATGACCAGGTAGGCAAGCCTTGCTGGAAAACCAGACTATCGTCAGTAAACGTTACAACGGTTTCCGGAAACTTCAAGTTGAAGGGACCGTTGTTTATCCACAGTAACTGGTAAGCCCCTCAAGAACTATCCACTCTCATGACTATGATAGAAGGACATATCATTGCCTACGCGTGCACTGTGCACCAACGTAATCATATTCCTCATAACATTCATTTCCACATTAACCTCACCCTTTAATCCCCTTATGCGGGATAACAAGTAGACACCAACTGTTTGACAAGTTTCCTGTGGGCGGCAGGTCAGCCCACCTGGCCGGTGTCAGCTGGGTCGGCTCTCGACTCTGGTCCGGCCGCTCGCGCCGTCCGCCACCACGTCAGCCCGAGAAGACGCTGCTCCGCCGCCGCCGCCGCCGCTGCCGCCTCCCTCCGGAACCTGTTGCTGACGCCCGCCGCCGGCGCGCCCCCCTATATAGCCGGCGGCCACATTCGACGGTGACGTCACGCCAGAGCGTCGGGCCCGCTCAGCACCGCTGAGGTTACAGAGGGGACGATAGAGTGGGAGCAGATGGAACTGCTGAGAGCAGTATGTGGATAGTGTGATAGTGAAGCTAGCTATGGGTCGTGACATTCGAGCAGAATTGTATTTGATGACGGCGCAATATGAGATGTCATTTTTTTAACTCGAGCATTGCTTTTTGTTCTTCTTTTTAATGCTTACCTTACTTCTCTAATTAAAGCTTTATCCTAATGATCCCATGCTCACTAATCATTCACCGCAAAACTCTGGCAGTTATCATCCGTAGCAAAAAAAAGAAAAGTTCAAAAAAGTTATTCACTTTTCGTCTTATTTAAATTCGGAACTCTTTATGTCCCGAATATATGAGTGCGTACTGCGTATCACGAACGATTTTTCCCATTCGCTCAGCATTGTAATCCGTTTGTAATACGCGCATCCCTAGTCAGAGTTTCGGCTATGCTTGAACTTATTTTACATCTACATTCAGTTTGTCAAATTTTGATAGGTATATTACACTTTTTAATTCAATTAACATTGCAAGAGTAGCAAGTAGCTTTTAAACAATCGATGATATCTAAAAGAGCATATTTGATTGACCGAATCCTCAATATAATCTGAATAAAAATGACAAAGATCTGTGATCGAATATACCCGAATTTTGCTAATTTTTTCATTTTTATTCAGAGTATATTGAGGATTCGGTCAATCAAATATGCTCATAATCATCATGATGATTTTCCTCACAACGCTGAACTCTCTTAAATATCTAAAAGAAAAGAAAATATTTTTGTTTCTTTGTTTTCATTCGTTGGTTGTAGGATGAAGGTTCAGATATAGAGACTGCTTGATTATTTGAGTGACCAGCGACCACTGGGCAGATATATCATAATAATCTTAGGTCCCATTAAAAGCGCTACGCAGGCAAAGCAATGATGTAAAATACAGCTTTGGGGCTGCAAAAAAAAAAAGAATATAGCAGCGAGTACCAGCGTTTTTGATGCGCTGAAAACCTTAGGAGCTCGAAAAATGTGGGGAGGACTGACAAATAGTCACGAGAATGCAACAGACGTAGCAATTTGTTTATGCTGATGATTGGCAGTTCGCCATATTTTTCTTTTGAATTTTACAGTAGTGTTTGGTAACATAAGCTAGGTTAGATTTAATTTGTGTCTACTGGGTGGGTGGGATCTAATATTAGGTCAAAGCAAATCAAAATATACAAGCATGCAGTGAATTTCGGGTAAATATCAGGGAAGATCAAGAAGTGACACCGTTTGATTCAGGTGAGAAGGGGATATGTTTGTTGAGGAAGATAGGGTGTCTCTTGACACAGGATAATATGCATGTGTTTTTCACCGAAGTCGTTACTGAATATCAGCATGTCATATATTGTTGTTTAGTGTTAGCATTTCTTTAATGCATAAAAATGCAATATTTGACAAAGGAAGAAGCTAACTAGTAACTAAGAGTACGTCCTCGCAATAGTTATGCATGCTAGAATTGTTGGGCCATAGTGCGACTGAAAGGTCAACAACCTGAAAAACGGTTAAGTAATTAGGGTCTTATCGTTTGCCAATTATATATAAAAAACAGTCCATAGAGCCAAAACTATGAGATAGCATTTGTTTATGAACACAAACAATTTAGAATGACAATTTTGGTAGACCACATTTTGACATCTACCGTGGCCTGCTCAAAAGGCAATAGCGCAAATGCCTTTTGCTCGTACATAAAGCCATTCTTATGCATAGCATCACCTAGCTCAAATGATGGGCGAAGTCCAAATACCCACATTCTAGATCATATTTTTTTCGAATGACACTTAAATCACGAACGTCTTGAAGAACGATGTTCCGACTTGATATTTTATGTTATTCGGGTTCACTCATTTTATCCATGCCACAATACTACCTAGACTAATTGTCGAGCCTCAGCTATCCTTACCATACAACGCAATTTTGACGTAAAGCAAAATTAGTTTATTCAACTTGATATACTACGTACACCAGAGAAGCCCAAACTTGCTGAAACTGGTTGCTATGAACAAACGGGATATCAGTTTTAACATTCAGTGTTTTGTACTTTCATTTATGTAGACAATTCAACGTTATGGATTTCTTGGCATATTCTTAATGCATAAGAACAACATATTTGCCGAATAAAGCAATAACAACAATTAAGAATGTGACTATGCTCAGCTACTTATATAAAATATTCCGAAAGCAAGTGGACTGAAAAGAGTGTGTACCTATCGAGCATTCTTTTTATCACATAAACATTTTGGTTTTGGTGTAATTATTTCGAACTAAAACGTTGCACCCATGTCAACTCTAGTCAAAATAGCACCGTGATCAAACCATGAGCACTAACGACAGCTACACACTCTTTTCAGACTGCTTTGAACGGCCTCGGGTCGCTTCCTTCCCGAAGACGAAGATCTCCCAGTGTAAATCCGCAGCATTTCCGCCATGAGTCAACTAACTCCCCAAAAGGTGAAGGAGCATTTAGAGAAGCTTGGCTACACCAACATCCCAAAGAAGGAGCTGCAGGTGTTTACCCGCGACCTGCAGCGTCTGGTCAACTACGAGACGAGCAGTCGCAGCGGCACCGAGCACTCGACCTACAGCCACAGCCAGGGCCGGCGCGGCGACTGCCGGCGCCACCGGCGCTCCGAGCTCGAGTCGATCCCCGAGGACCGCAGCCAGGCCACCACGCAGCGCTCCCGGTGCCGCAGCCAGTTCAGCCGCGGCTGGGACACGCGACCGCCGCCGGCCGGCACCAGTGACTTCTTTGACCTGACGGGCACCCGGTGCCGTCCGCGCGCTCGCTCCGTCGACACGCGCTCCGACAGTCTGGGCTCGCTGGAGGAGACGATGCGGGAGCTGGCCGGCGCCGATGACGCGGCCTCCAGCGTTACGGACTCGTCTGTGGGGGCGCCGGTGCCGGCGGCGGCCGCCACTCGGCAGGAGTGGCTGCCGCAGGTCCGCGACGGCGCCGAGGAGCTGCTCAAGGCCGGCTTCCGGGTGCGCTGCGACATGCTGACCAAGCCAATCCGCTCCAGCCCGGCCAGCCGGCACCGCTGGTACGAGGAGGTCTGGAAGAGGAACCCCGTGCCCACTGAAGACAGTCACTACAACATCCGATCGGCAGTCCGCTTCGCCCTGGACACGTACGACTTCAAGCCGCGACCGATGCCCAAGCCGACGGATGTGTGGCAGGGTCCGCTGCTGAGGACGCAGCCAGACGCCTCCTACAAGATGAACTACGACAACGCGCTGAACAGATTCCCACTCAACGTTCGGGAGGGAAAGAAAAATTGCCAGTAACCGAGCCTCAACGGTCCAAGTGTCTTCGTCCAAACAAGAATGTCCCGTGATGTTGTCCTGCCTAGGGTATACCAATAGCAAAAATACAAATTCATTTACAAACGAATGCAAACAACCTTTTGCATTTTACCGTCATTCTGTATGGGTTTTGTGATATCGAAATGCATTCAGAGTTGAAAACAATGTCACTGTTTCTATATGTAATGCCATTCACCGTTCAGCATACATCTCGTGCAGTGTTTCAAGAAGGTCATTAGCCACAGATCAATTTCATATGGGTTTATAATGCATGCGAAATATACGGCTTTGGGGACACGGACGTAAACAAGCAGCATCATATAAAAATATCCATTATTTGAAGGAACAAAACAGGCTTGTCACGAAAGCTTAGCTTAACCCTCGCCCATGTAGGGGTGGGGTGGTGCAACCCCCCCCCCCCCTGAGGTTTTTCTTTCTTAGCTACACGCCGAACCGTTTCAGATAGCCTGCTCAAATTTTCAGTACTCTATGGGGCATCCTTTGCGCAACTTTTGGTATTTTTTTTTGTCAGGGTCATGTCAGGTCACGGAGTTATGACGTCATAAAGGGAACAACCTCCGGCCAGATTTACGCTAAATTGGAGATTGCTTCACATTGGTATAAATGCCGACTGACCTGACACACTGATGGATTGTTTTAGAATCACAACTGGCTGATTTGACATTGGCACAATGTCCGTTGACATTTTGAAGGTTACTAAAGGTCAAGGTCAGGTCAGTGACCTCGGTTGACCTGTAATGACTTCTTGCACTTGTATGCCTTTTCGGGGTATTTTGATGCCCTGAATTCGAATTTGCTATCCATTTCAGGCATCGTCGGTTGTTTCTTGTAGTTCATTTTGGGTCAGGGTCAGGTCAGTGACGTCACACGCCTGACGTGACCCAATGCACAAATGACCTTGCAGACTTCCGATGCTCCCAACGCATCATTTTTAGAGTTATGACATCGAAATACACACCAAACAATAGCGAATTGATCAAGGATCACGATAGTGAAGGTTTCAAGTCGATATCTCTTACCGTTTTGCCGCAATCGGCGCGGAAATCTGAAAAAGTTAGATTTTTCCGAAAATTTGACCTTTGACCGGTCATAAGTAGGTCAAATGTTGACCTAGGACCAAAAACTATACCACCAATCGCGAGATCTCGTTGAGAGCAATCCGTTGGTCTTTTCCGCTAAGCTCTACGACGCTCCGTTTTCAAACGCCAGGGGGGGTCGCACCAACCCCCCCCCCTGCATGGGCGAAGGTGGCAAAACACCGTTTACGGGCGAGGGTTAATATATACATAGTAGTAAGCGATTCGATACGACCAATAAAGATACGATGTGTTACGAATATATGGACGAAAGCACATATCGAAAGATCTCAAGATATACTGAACTTTGTGGAGAAAGTTCACTTTGAAATATTGATCTTATCTTCTTTGTTTAAATCAAATAATCACAATATCGGCGTGAGGCACCTCGATTTACCTTCAGCTTTATAGCAAATATTTCATGTGGCATTTCCCAAAATTAGACACACGACAGCACAATGCAGAGTCGCAGACGGATTGCTATGCTCACGAAAATAGATTTTTCGTACCGAGACAGCTGGTGGTTTGGAATTGCGGCAATATGACTGCATCCATCTTTATGCCGTTGACAGGTCTATTATGTTTAATGGAATTTCCGATTGCTGACAACGTTTCGCTGCATTGTTAGCCCAAAGTTTTCCAGACTGATATAGTATTCAAGCTACGTGCATACGTATCCTAGCACGCTTGGCCATAAATCGCCAAAGCGCTTGTCAGAAATGTTTAGAGACCTTAACCCTCGCATGTGTGTGTGTGGGGGGGGGGGGTGTCAGATGGACCCCACCCATGAGTTTTCGCGAATAACTCGCGCAAAAAGCGGACGATTGCGACGAAACTTTCAGTACCCTCGATTTAATCAATTTTACACCTACCCTTAAATTTTCATGACCCTGACCCAAATGACCTGTGACCTGTGACCTACTTTTCGAGACAATGTTTGGCCGGGATCGCGATTCGGCGAATGCCGGCTCGCATTAGCCGCGCGTTTGCAGTCTTTTCGTGGTTCCAAGCGTTTATACATGTGATTTGATGTTGCTCCCATGTATAAGGGTGGATGTCAATGTCACCTGAAGGTCAAGTCAGGTCATTACCTTTGATGATCTTGGTCCACTTTTTCGAGTTTTACATGTTTCTAGGCTAATTAGTTTTTTTAGCTGAATTTGAATTTAGCAACCATTTGAACATTTACGAAGAAATTTTGATGCCTTCGTAACATGTCACTAAGCTGTTAGAGGCGGTTGACACGTACTACGAATACCCGGCAGGACCCCTACTGGTTGACCTGACCTGACCTGACCCGACCTGGCCTAAATGCATAAAGACATCATCTGTGATCAGAACTAACATGATATTCGTGATCAACACCCCGAAAAACCCAATAGCAGCCACACTATACGACGTTCTAACAGGTCCCGATTTCCCCGACTTTTGGGTCATTAACCTGACCTGGAAGGTCAACCGATGACCTAGGACCTTTACATTGGGGTGCTGAAGAGGTGGCATAGGCATAGTCTAATGCCCTCCTCTAATGCAATAAACATTCACGACAAATTGGGTGTCCAGCTAATCTATGTAATACAGAGGGGCGACGTTGGCGATGCCATGTCTCGTGTTTGTTTCAGAGTGGACCGGAAAGCTGCAATTTGATTGGTCGAGAGATCTGATTGGTAGAGATGCTGGCTACAGCCTGCTTCGACGGTCCGACGGACAAACGGGGAAATCGAGGTTGCACCGGCACCGATTTCTTTCCCTCAGGCCAGGTGAGTGAGTTCGAATCGCATTGGTAGATCAGGTCGCTAGTCGTCAGGATCAGAAGCGTACCGCCCTCTAAAATCGGTTTAGGCTCTCATTCAAAACGCAGCTTCATTCACGAACACTGGAGCAGTATCGTATCGTCTGTGTCCAGCTTTGTGAATCAGCGGCGATGACCATTGAGTATGCTTGATTTCTGCATGCACAATTGACTGTGAAATCTTCCATTTTTATCTAAAAATGCATATTTGCAATTTGGGAAGACGTTTGTGTTCGGAGTTATTCGGACGCCTTCTTACGCTAAGTTGAAGTGCTTGCGCTTCGCGCGGCACGTCGGATGTACTGCACTGGTAGGCTGTACCGCCGGGCAGCTGTGTAAGGCGGTACAGTCTAACAAGCCAGTAGGCAGAGAATCGAGCGTGTCTGTGGATACCGCACTACAACCACTTTCTGTGACTTACTTGCTGGGTGTGTAGTGTGTACTGTACTGCATAGGCAGCAGAACGGGGAGGGCACCAGGGCACCGTGCCCCCCTTTGATTTTGGCATTTTAACATTAGCCCTATGGGCGTTGCATGGAAAGAATGGGACCAAAAGTCGGCGGTGCCCCCCCCCCCCCTTAATTGAAGGTGTTCCGCCGCTACAGTAACTGTAGGCTGTAGCACACATTTATGAACACGCTCTTTACTATACAGATACTAAAGCGCCTTTGTTTCGGTAGAGATACACGGGTCAATATCTCCTGGAGAACCAGCATGGCCGCGGCGTGTATCTGCACCCAAGCGGCTTCAAATACATGGGCTACCTGTTCGCCGGCGATGCCGAGTTCTGTGGTCGGGCGCTGTCGCCGACCGGCGCCGAGTATCAGGTCAGTCGAGGTCACAACGGGTCACACACTGTACACAATCGCATCAGAAATGTTAGAAAGGCGACCGGAGACCTTTCAGATGGAGCACTGAACTTCACTTACACTTCACGAACGGACTAAGCAAGCTAGGCAGCGTCGTTTTAGATTATTATTTTGACACTCTTCCCTATTTCTGTCATCTCCCTGCTCACTTGTTGCACTTGTGATCTGCTTGATGCTGCTTTTTAGGGTCTTATTTCCACTTTCCTTCTTTGATACCTATCATGTGACATCTACCGGCCATTTTACACATTTTTGAAACTCAGCGCTCAGTGTGTTCAGTGTGTTCATACTCAGACCAGCTGTTCTCTGACCGTGCATCACCCCAGGGCATGTTCTATGACGGCCTGCCGCACGGCGTCGGCCAGGTGACCTATGGCGGCGGACTGCGGCGGGATGTGGGTCTCTGGTGGCGGGGGCGACTGGTGCGGCTGCTCTGCCCCTCGCCCACCGCTGTGTCCTTCGAGCGCCTGCTCACGGGACACTACATCGGCTGGTACGACCGCCGCGTCCTGCATGTTCAGGTGAGGATGGGAGGGAGGTGACAGGAGGGACTGGGGAGGATAGAGACGCCCCTCGAACTACTGCACCGCTGACTCAATCGTATTCGTATATGGAATGCACAAATAACTCGAGTTCTTTGACAGTGATGTAATGTGTGTGCATGATCGGAGGTACCTCGAGTTTTTTCGTATTTGGCATTATATACTTGTATTATTAATCCATGCACATTTTTCTAACAAATGTCACTCTGAGTGGAGCATATCAGTATTATGTCAAAATGTATCATTTTTAGCGCAGCAGCTTGAAATAGTACGGTACAGTGTCCACTTTTGGGTTTTCAGTCGGCCAATCCACTCCCCCAGTCAAAAATCCGTGGCGACGCTCCTGAACTATACCAATCTGAAAATGGTAACACGTTCATGACCAGAAGAATGCTTCCAACTCACTCAATCCCGCTAATAACCTCAGTGAGATCCAATGCACAATCCGATCTCAGGAGCAGGAGAGCCCGCTGGAGTCGGTGCTGAGGGAGCTGGGGTCGGGTGCGCCCACCGCCGACCGACCCCTCGATCAACTGGACCGTATGACCAACCTGAAGCTGCGCGACAGACGCACGGCCGCCTTCCCGAGCCACAGGTGGGGACAGCTGCCCACAGGTGGGGACAGCTGCCCACAGGTGGGGACAGCTGCCCACAGGTGCGGACAGCTGCCCACAGGTGCGGACAGCTGCCCACAGGTGGGGACAGCTGCCCACAGGTGGGGACAGCTGCCCACAGGTGCGGACAGCTGCCCCGTGGGCATGAGCAACGGGGACGTTACATGTCGGTCAGTTCAGCTATTCCCTTCATCGTTATGACATGTTGTGGTATAATTGTTTGTCTAAGGACAGTTCAAGTCAATACAGCCATTATAAGGATTTGTTCCCAAAATTATTTGTGCGAAGACTTTCATTTAAAAATGAAATGCCACAGCCCATGTAAAACATCATTCAGCTTTGCATCTTTTTTTCGCAGATTAGATTCGTTTTTGCACTAGCGTCGGTCCCATTCATTTTCAGATACAAGTACGGGTGTCAGCGTGTAGCACCAGTTCGACTTCTGGCCTGGAACGACTCCCAGGACATGTGTGAGCTCCAGTCTCACGCCTACCTGACGGAAAAGGCCGGGCGACTGGACTTGGTCAGTAGATGCCGGCTGCACAGCAAGCTGTTGTGTTGTCATCCATCCATTCCACTGCCAGCGCTTTCTAAAGAATGTTCATTGTGCGATGAACATCGAGCACTTATGCTGTTGGATAAGTTCATGAACTTCATTACCTACGTAAAAAGCTTTGTCATTTTTATGGGCGCCTTTGTTTGGTGCGGAATGCCGTTTGAAGCTTTAAAATGATTGAAACCGATTATGCTCGACAAAAGATTTCAATACCACTGAGGTTTGAATGTTGATGTTCCACGGTTCGACTTGCATGTACTAGCAAGAGCTGTGACTTAAGGAATAGTTGACTTAACTATGCAAACGGATTTGTTGATCATTCAGATTCATCTCTGGTTTTTCGTTTCATGGGAAGCCGTTCATCCATTCGCCCACCGTCAGGTCATCAATAGCCGTTTTCACGACGGCCATCTGATACACATTTGGTGCACATTTGGTGCAGATTAGGTGCAGATTTGGTCAAATTAGGTTCAGTGTATCTCTTAGCAGCTATCAGCTAGGATTGCGCTAATTGTTTATATGCCTGCTTTGTCATATTATCAGAGAGTAACATCGAATAAAACACTGAAATAAATTCATAAAATGAAGATATTTGCTGTAAAAGAGATTAGGTGCAGATTTGGTCAAATTAGGTGCATTCGCCGGATAGCCCGTCGTGAAAACGGCTATTGTCCTGCTCCTCGGGTGAGAAGCTCGTTGACCTCTACCCTCCCACTCCTGTACAGGAGGTGGTGCCTGCCAGTGTTCAGGAGCTGCTGCGGCCCGAGCGGCTCTCGGAGGTCCCCCCGGGCCGGCTGCAGCGGGCCAGTCTGCTGCTGCTGCACGCCAGCGCTCTGAACAGGCCCGACGTGGTGCGACTGCTGCTCCGCACCGTGCGAATCAGCCCCAACGTGGCCGACGCGACGGGAGTCAGCGCGCTCATCTGTGCAGCGGTGAGTCGGGAACGAGACGTACCGGGACGGGACGGGACGGGACGGGACGGGACGGGACGGGACGGGACGGGACGGGACGGGACGGGACGGGACGGGACGGGACGGGACGGGACGCGACGGGACAGGACGGGACGGGACGGGACGCGACGGGACGGGACGGGACGGGACGGGACGGGACGGGACAGAACAGAATGGAACGGCACTTCTTTTGATTCTTCGACGTTTCATGTCAACATTTCGGAAACACAAAATGTTGTTCGAACCTGGTCCAGCATAAAGAGAAAAGGGTCAAATGGTCTACAGGGTGTCCCATAAGTTCCTTCTCAGTTCTCACCTAATTTTTTTCTTTTAGAGGCTCTCTTATTTAAAGCCACGCTTAATTTATTTTTTAACTGAGCTTTTGGGGTTGCCATGGCAACTGTGAATTTGCTCCACGGTAACTATAGTTCGTTTTTCTTAAGTTTGCCCCTCACTGTAAACGTCTCTTTGAACACAGCACGAGAGTTGCTAGCTGAATTACTGAGAAAACTGGTCAGCGCACATTGTATTGTAGATATGAATAATATTTTCCAAATATTTTCAAAAATAAGTTTTGAACACCGACGATTTAACGCTATGTTAAGCGCCGTGCAATTTATATATTAGTTCAGACATAATTCCTGAGAAGTCGTCTATCCCTGTGGGGCTGTAGGTATTGGCAAATACGAGCTACGAGTCTGTGAAATAGTAAATAAATTTGATGAAATTGATCGTCTGTGAAATCTGGTCATATCAATGTGCGCCAACCAGTTTTCTCAGTAATTCAGCTAGCAATTCTCGTGCTATGTTCAAAAAGACGTTTACAGTGAGGGGCAAACTTAAGAAAAACGAACTATAGTTCGTCTAGACAAAATATTTTTTGCTAGAGAGGCAACTTCCTGTGGAGACGGCTTACGCCGCAATATAGAGGCCTCCGATACGGGTACGCCTCGGTATTTAAGCCGCACGTGGGCCATTTGCGACGGTTGAGGGTGATTGAGGCCATCCAGGCTGTAGTCAATGTCTGTCACTAACTGGATGCACAGTCAGCAAGTGACGCCGATGATTTGTCGGGAGTCAATCGCTGCAAGTTTATGCTCTTTTTTGTCAGCTCTCAGGAGTGAGCCATGTGGCCAACACTGTGTGGCGCCAAAGTGACCGTCAAAAAGGTCTTAGCGTTAGAAAGTTGGTAAGCAGGCTTTTCAGGATGGATTACCATATGTCTAAGAGCATTATTTCAGGGTACATAACTCACGGTCACTTGGGCCTAAACTTAACGGAGGACGCAAAACAGTCGAAAATGTCTTAAAATGGCCAAACATTTCTTTCGTTATGCCTGAGGCTAAAAAAAATTGAGGGCCGATGACATCAATGTGGTCATCTGGACTACCTAGTCCGTGTTCGAGATAAAACACCCGTCCAAACCCCAAAACGGTTCCATATGGGCGACGGAAAAGGCCCTCGTGTCATCCCGCTTTATTTTGATGCAAAAGGCCAGGGTCACGGTAATGTGGGGTAATATGCGTCCAGACGCTGAGCAGGTTGCGATTGATACTCCAGAAACAGTGTTGAGACGCAGAATGCTTCTCCAAGAAGATCTAGGAGGAGTTTCAGCCTTCTAGCTTAACTCGAACCGCAAGTATGAACACATTTTTGAAGGAGAAAATGGCATCCGGGAGGTCGTAGACCCATCTTCAAGCAGGACAGTGCATCAGTGCAGAGGTCAAACAAAGCTTAAAAGCAGTGCCAGGAGACTGCGATAGGCGTCTGTGGCAAGATCACATCCCAGGCAACTCATCGGATCCAAATTTCATAAAAATGTGTTGGAAATATTGAAATCGAGGCATGTCGAAGCGAAGCGCTGTTCCAGCCTCGAGGAGCTCACGGCGCATGTCAAGTCAGTCTGGGCTAACTTGAAGCCTGCTATGCTGCCAAACATGCCGGTTGGCGGTTGGCATGCCACAGCATGTATTCATGTGTTTGCCTATGAAATGGGGAGCATATTGAGGGGTCATAAATATATCAAAACGCAATGTACTCTGTTTTACATGCAAATATAATGGGAGAACGAGCTTATGGGACAGAATGAGGGTATCGGTATGAGGGTATGAGGGTATGAGGGTATCGTCAACAGTAGGTGGGACAGAATAGAACTTAGTGGAAAATACATGCGGCGAGGGTGGCCGAAAGAGCGCAGACATTGGCGCAGCAGAACAAAATACTAGGAAAGATCCGCGCCTTAATTTCATCAATGTTGCATGGAACTCATCTCGTGTGTTGAAGTCGTAGGAAGGTTATCTGATGTTTTATGTGGTCTCATCACAAGAGTAGACTCTCACATACTATTGTTCTTTATTGACGTGAAAATGTTGGTAATCCAATATCCTCTAAATAGCTCCCCTAGTTAATTTCTTTTCTTATCACGCCTCGGTAACGTATTTGTGCAAATCATGACATGTGGTGGTCTGTAATTTCCGCGGAAATGAGTCTGATCTCCCCCGAATCACCTGTAACCTCAATGACATCGGGTCATTCTATTACAGGGATCCTTCGTCTATCTCCCCTTTATGGGAACCGGACGCTAGTCTCATCTTTCCCTGGTCCGCCAAGTCTCGCCACAGACCCGTTCACTTGCAACCAACGCATTTAAGCTAAATTACTATTGATTACTTTCGATATCTTTAAGTATTATCGCGAAGGCAGTTTAATTGCTCACTGCATAGCTAGCTCATAGCTGAGAATCGAAGCCTGAAAATATTTGTGTTGCATTCAGACTGTCTGTAAATTGGAGTCCTGGGGCCGTATTCACGTCGATCATTTTCGTGAGAATTGTCTTACGCATGACCTGCTTCTTAATATTTTTTTTTTTACGTGAACTCCGACGATAAAACTTAACAAGTGTCGGCGTGAATGCCAAATTATACTAACGAAAGCAAATCGACTTACACAGTCGACGTGAATACGGCCCCTGGTCTAACGAGCAAGAGCATGCCAATATGCCATCAGATGCAGGGCTTCCTGGTTATAATAAAGAGTAGGCAAGAAAATAGGTTGATGGAGCTGTGCTTCGGTCTAACTTTTGGTGTGACTTTCCAAGCATATACCGAACAGAATTTTGAACTGGATCAGCTCAGCTCAGCTCAGCTCGGCTCAATCAGCTGAGCTCAGCTCAGCTCAGCTCAGCTCAGCTCAGCTCAGCTCAGCTCAGCTCAGCTCAGCTCAGCTCAGCTCAACCAGCTCAGCTCAGCTCAGACAGCAGTTCAGCTCAATGCACTACTGAGCCGGCTCCTCTCACAGCTCAACAATATGGCAAAATGTTGAGCCGGCTCATGAGCTCAGCTGATTTTTGAGCTGGCTCAACTGAGCTGGTCACAAGTCTGAAGATGAAAGTGCTTATTTTGCTGAGAGAAAAGGACGAAATAAACTGTTGCCGTGTTAACTAGAAAGGTTAACTGATGTAGCTGAAAAAGTCCGTTTGAATTGCGCTTTGGACAAGTTTTACTGCAGCTATTCCAGCTATTGTGGTGTTTGGACTTGGAGCACCCATGTCTGCTTTCCACGTACCTAGCTCTGCACTATTTGGGCTCTGTGACAGCGCTGCATGGCTAATACGATAATTGTTTTGAATTTCTAACCAGGTTTTCAGATGTTACATGCAAGGTGTATTGCCTTTAGCTGACCTTTGTCCCCCCTAGCTGTCAAACTGTGACTGAGCCTCTGGCTTCTCGGGAATATAGCCGCTGTTCTCGGAGCTGTTGGTAAATCCCTAAAATACCGCAAGACCGGGCCGCGGCTGTTGAAGTCGCCATAACACGAGCACTGGTCGTTCGCCCCAGACTCTCTAACCAGGCGGCTCCAGCTGCCTGCAGTGTGCTGTATTTTCAGTGTAGCGTTATGAGAGCACTGTCAACATAACATCTCTCCAGCGTGTGGAGTGTTGTCAAAACAGCAGCAGCACAAGCAGAGGCGATCTTATTTGGGGCCGGCTACTTGAAGTGAGGCTTATTGCAAACGATCTTGTGTACTTACAATGCATGCATTGTCAGACGGGCTAGTGTAGTTCACCTACGAATCATATGCTCGCACATATAGCCTGATTACCAATGTGATAAAAATGAGATAAATAAGAAAGAGTCTAGATTTTGATGACGTGTTGCTGGCCGTCCTGTTTAGCTGCCGTAGAGGGTTTCCCAAGCAAATTAATCTAACAAACTTTTACATAATGCCTCTTGACTCTTATGCCGTCTATGTCTTGTCCATTTGGTACCGGGAGTTCCCGAAAAAAATGGATGATTTCATTTTTTCTCTAAAATGTCTAAGAGTTATAACACCGACAATATCGACCTAATTACTTTAAATAATGTCGCCATGCAAAAAAAGACGAACAACAGCGCTATAAGAGAACTATATATTAACTAACTATCATATAATAACTAGATAATTAACGAATATATGTATATATATATATATATATATATATATATATATATATATATATATATATATATATATATATATATATATATGTATATATATATATATATATATATATATATATATATATATATACAGGGTGTCCCATAAGTTCCTTCTCACCTAAATTTTTTTTTAAGAGGCTCTCTTATTTAAAGCCACGCTTAATTTATTTTGAAACTGAGCTTTTGGGGTTGCCATGGCAACTGTGAATGTGCTCCACGGTAACTAATTCGTCTAGACAAAATATTTTTTTGCCAGAGAGTTCACTTCCTTTGGAGACGGCTTACGCCGCAACATAGAGGTCTCTGATACGGGAACGTCTCGGTATTTAGACCGCACTGGGCCATTCACGACGGTTGAGGGTGATTGAGGCCATCCAGTATGTAGCCAATGTCTGTCGCTAACTGGACGCACAGTCAACAAGTGACGCCGATGATTTGTCGGGAGTCAATCGCTGCAAGTTTATGCTCTTTTTTTGTCAGCTTTCACGAGTGAGCCATGTGGCCAAAACTGTGTGGCGCCAAAATGGCCGTAAAAAGGTCTTAGCGTTAGAAAGTTGGTAAACAGGCTTTCCAGGATGTATAACCAGCTGTCTAAGAGTATCATTTCGGGGTACCTAACTCAAGGTGACTTAAGCTCTACTTACCGGAGGGCTCAAAACAGTCAAAAACGTCTTAAAATGGCCAAACATGTGTTTCGTTATGCCTGAGGCTAAAAAAACTGGAGGGTCGATGACATCAATGTGGTCATCTGGACTACCTAGTCCGTGCTCGAGATAAAACACCCGTCCAAACCCCAAAACGGTCCCATATGGGCGACGGAAAAGGCCTTTGTATCATCCAGCTTTATTCCTATGCAAAAGGCCAGGGTCACGGTAATGTGGGGTAATATGCGTCCAGACACTGATCACGTTGCGAATGATGCTCCAGGAACAGTCTTGGGACGCAGAACGCTTCTCCAAGAAGATCTAGGAGGAGTTTCAGCTTTCTAGCTTAACTTGAACCGCAAGTATGACCACATTTTTTTAGAAGAAAATGGCATCCGGGAGGTCGTAGGCCCATCTTCAAGCAAGACAGTGCATCAGTGCAGAGGTCAAGCAAAGCATAAAAGCAGTGCCAGGAGACTGTGATAGGCGTGTGTGGCAAGATCACATCCCAGGCAACTCATCGGATCCAAATTTCATAAAAATGTGTTGGGAATATTGAAATCGAGGCTCGTCGAAGAGAAGCGGTGTTCCAGCATTGAGGAGCTCACGGCGCATGCCAAGTCCGTCTGGGCTAACTTCAAGCCTGCTATGCTGCCAAACATGCCGGTTGGCATGTCGCAGCATGTATTCATGTGTTTGCCTATGAAATGGGGAGCACATTGAGGGGTTATAAACATATCAAAACGCAATGTACTATGTTTTACATGCAAATAAAAGGTGAGAACGAACTTATGGGACACCCTGTATATATATATATATATATATATATATATATATATATATATATATATATATATATATATATATATATATATATGACCGCGTATTGGCAGTTTATGAATTGTTTTTGAGTTCGTTCGACTGATCTAACCACTCGCTTTTCTTGTTCTCCCACGCGAAAAATGAGGTCACCGATAGATTCATTGTTCATTCTCTTTGCAACGTTTCGTGAACTTTTCACATTATCAAGCAATATCCTACTCACACCTTAAATTATATAAATATAGACAAGTAAATATGTGTGAACGTACATCATGATCTACATTTTGACTACTTTAGGGTTCAATCACAATCTCAGATCCTATAGGTACACAGCTATGTCACAAAATATAGGAGCAGAAATGCCACAATTTGTCACATTCACGGAATATTTTTTTTACATAGTGAAACTTAAATCACGCACTAAAATATGCAAGTAAAACTTCTGACTGGAGATATCCCGAAAATCATAAAGAGCTATCGTACAGTTTCAGTACGCCTTGAAAATCGTACTGAATGTTAAGCTTCGGCTGAAGTTCTTTGATCAAGACGGCTTCTTTAACTTGAAGACGGCTTCTTTAACCTGTAGGCACCAAGTGCCTACAGGAAGGATTGTTGCCGAAATACACGCATATATATATATATATATGTTAATTAGCTATATATAACTAACTATTATACTATATTTGTAATTTAACCCGCGCCCTGGTGGGGTCTGCTTATAACGCAACCATGGTGGTGGAGGGGCTATTTTTTTGCCCCCCCCCCCCTAGTATCTCCGAAACTACTAGATGGGTCCGCAAAATTCAACTACGGCATTCGAAAACCTTGTCAAATGTTTGAAGGAAATCCAATTTCATTGACATCTGGGACACCGATGACGTCACAGGTCAGGTCGAAGATGAAATGTTTCACCGTTCACGGGTCTTCTAGGGAAAGCGCTATAACATCGAGTAAAACGCATTTTATCGAAAATCAGCGATAGGACATCAGTTGCCTAGTACATATGTTGCTATTAGAGGTCGTTGATAATACCAGGTCAGGTCACAGGTCAGGTCACCAAGGGTCAGCACCTGAGCACATGAACCAAATTCTACTAGGGCTGTGCGATGCATGTTTAATGACCAATTTTTCATTTCCAACTAAATGGTGTTGGTAATAAGACCATCAGGAGCGGCTTAGGTCACTTCCGGGTAGAGGTCAGGTCAATGTCAAGTAAAAAGAGGTCAGATTTAAAAGTTGATATTTTTGCATAAAATGGGTATGGGTAGGTATTGATTCGATGCAGCTCGTCAGGCGAGTCTAACGGTGGTCTTTGTTTTGCGCTATGTGGTCTAGAATGGCTAAAAATTGAGTTTGAAAAAATTGCCGTCTTCCTCAGTCACGCCTGATGGATCCACCGTTACTTTGCGCGGTACTTTTAAGACAGACTGTACAAGGCAAGAGGTGGTCGACAGCGAATCCAGAGCAGAGGACACCGCGGGAGAACATGATATTTGGCTCTCGGTACATACATAGGTACTGCCTCTGTCCAATGTAATACCGCTATCAAATTATGTGCTTACTGTCTTTGCCAGTTGCCCTTTGCCTAGTTTTGCACTAGTTCGCTGATTACCGTCTGCGCCGTATATCGTACCGTTGTGTCCAGATCTGTAATTGCCGTGACGTCTCTGTCCAGTTCTGTAATTATCCTACCGTCGATGCTCAGTTCTGTTTAACTGTACCGTCTGGGTCCAGTTCTGTAATTACGGTGACGTCTCTGTCCAGTCCTGTAATTACCGTGACGTCTCTGTCCAGTCTGTATTTACCGTGACGTCTCTGTCCAGATCTGTAATTACCGTGACGTTTCTGTCCAGTTCTGTAATTACCGTGACGTCTCTGTCCAGTCCTGTAATTACCGTGACATCTCTGTCCAGTTCTGTAATTGCCGTGGCGTCTCTGTCCAGTTCTGTAATAATCATACCGTCTGTGCTCAGTGCCGTTATAATTGTACCGTCTGGGTCCAGTTCTGTAATTACCGTACCGTCCGCGTCCATTTCTGTACAATGTGCATGCAGTCTGCTATACGGTATAGCACGTCTGTGCCCCGTATTCCGCCCCATACCTCCATACCTTCACCCCCTCTGTCCTATGTCCAGATGCGGGGCCACACGGCCGCGGTGAACACCCTGCTGGACCACGGCGCCAACGTGAACCAGCTGACCGACTGCGGCCTGTCGGCGCTGAGCCTCTGTCTGTCGCTGCACCACCCCGACTACAGCACGCGCTACCACCTCGACCAGCTGAGCGTCTTTACGCACCTCGAGCTCAACGACGTGCGTATTTGACAAACACATTTTTTAGGCATTTTAAGGGCTGAAGAAAGTTACTTGAGCTGGTGACATTATGAAATTGAGCGCAATGCAGTCCGCTCGGTACGGATGAATCCACGCATTTGTGAGTACTGTTCCGTGTGTAAGTTCGACGTTACGCATTGAGCAGTGTATACTATAGGCACATTACAGTGCGCGATTTCTCCGTGTGACTGGCGCCGCTCCCGTCCCTGCAGGAGCTGGACGGCGTGTTGGAGTGGCACGGCGGCGAGCCGCGGCCGTGTGAGCGCGGCCGGCGCCCGTTCCCCGCGCGACCCGTGCCGCTGGCCGCCCGCCGTCAGAAGGCCGTGCGCCGGCCGAGACCGCGCCGCAGTCCCGGCACGGACAGCTCCGAGCCGCCTGACATCCGCCAGGCGCTGGTGCCCGGGCCCGCTCTGACGCTGGAGCACCCGCCGAGCAGCTCCCGGCGCCGGCGACAGGGGTCGCACGCTCACTCCCACCCGCCGGGAGAGGCGGACACCGTCCGGGCCGCGGCAGGCCACTCAAGGGAACATACCCCCGATACCAGCGAGGTCCCGGCGGGCTCCCCGCAGCCGTCACATGTGGAGACTGCCCAGCGGCCGCGCACTCCGACCGCCGAGACCAGAGCGGCGGCTCGGACACCGGACGCTCTCCCGCCACCGGCCGAGGACTCGCGGGAGCACTGGGAGCCGGAGGGCTCCGCGCAGAGCGGCGCCGGCTCGGAATCGAACTCTCCACCGGCACCAGCAGACGGTGACGCGGCGGTCCCCGGATCGGCGGCCCCGAGCAGGCGGCCGTCCGCCGATCAGCCGGCCGCGGACGGGCCGCCCTCGCCGCCAGCCTGGCCGTCCGGCTGGCCGGAGGAGGCGGACGCCGCGGCCCGTCCTCCGGCCGCCAGCCTGCTGTCGGCGCGGACCGACGACGGCACCGACGGCTCGTGGTGGGAGCGGCTGCCGGCCGAGTTGCCGCGCTGCTGCCCATCGGTGGAGCGCGCGCTGGCCGCCGCCGCCGCCGCCGCCGCAGACGAGAGCAACCAGGAGACGGCCGTCCGGCTGATCGAGGCCTTCTGCGGCGGGGTGGATGGCAGGATACCCGAGACCGAGTACACCAGTCCCTGCCCGGGGTAAGTCACGGCCGCCGTGCCAGGCACGTCATCCTCAGAGTGAACAGTCCCCGTACCCATTCTGAGCACCCCTGACCATTTTGACAGAACGGATTATTTGTCATTTTTGTAATCACGGGCTCAGCTGCATGTTATGACAAGAATGTTATTTTATTTATGAGAGCAGAGAAACCCCGATTTATCTCAAAAGAGATTAGGTATTAAATATCGCAGCATGCTGTGTGTAACTAAATATAGTCCAAGTCTAGCGCCTACTTAGCTTATGTCCGGCATTTTAATCAAACCACCGTTTAGATTGAGATTTAGATGAAATTTGAAATGTAGGTAGTAGGTAAATAAATGGAATACAGTTGTTGGAACATATTCCGTTCTAATGTTAACTTATAAGCACATACTGAGCTTATTACATTGTCTTAGCGCGGCGTGCAGATTCTGACAGAGCGGCCGCTCGGGCCGTATTGAGGCCAAGTTGTCGCGGGCATCACTCCGTGTCATCTTAGAACGACACGGACCGACGGCCGGCCTTATGAGCGGCTTAGCGGGCGTCTGGTCGCCGCTCCGGTCGGCGCCGTATGAGTATGTGACTCTGCAGTGTGGGGAGTCTCTGTCTGCCGGCCGGCGGTCAGTCGGAACACGTCCCTCCCCGATCACCCGCCGACGCGCCGCTAACGTCGCACGTGCGCCGCCGCCCGCAGCAGTGCCGACATGCTGGCCATGATAAGGCTGCTGCTGCGGCGCGGTGCCAGCCCGGAGGCCAGTAAGGTACCGTTCCCAGCCGTGCACCACGCTCTGCTGGCCGACGACAAACCGCTGTTGGCCGCGCTGCTGGCGGCCGGCGGCGACCCCAACAGCCGGCTGCCACATCAGGTCAGAGACGGGGAGGGCTTATTGGGACAATTTAGACAGATTGGTACATCAGGCATACAGTGACACTATCGTACAGACGAGGTCAGTTCACCAGCCGTCATCACCAGGTCGCAGGCTATCCACAACCTTGGGACTGGCTAACTGCTTTCCCATTTGCACCACCCATTAGCTGCGTTTCAATGTCACACAAATTTGTAAGACAGATGGACAGTGGACAGCCTGACGCCCCCTCCCCCACAGCTGGGCGGCCTGTCGCCGCTGCACGTCTCCTGCTCTCTGCCCGGCGAAGGCAGTCTGCAGCTGTCGGCCCTGCTGCTGCAGCGCGGCGCCGACCCGAACGCCGCCAGTGACCGCGGCTCCGCGCTGCTGGACCCGCAGCTGCTGCAGCGCCGCCAGCTGCCGCTGCCCGAGCAGCTGGGCGCGCGCACACCGCTGCACGTCGTCTGTCAGCGGCCCGCCGACTCCTACGACCAAAAAGTGGTGAGTAAAGTGTAAACTGTAAACCGACTCGTATCGACCAAAGAGTGGCGAGCAAGTCGGCTCGTATTTCCACTTTCTAGTAAAGTGACTCGTACGACCAAAAAGTGGTGAGTATGCGCCGACTCGTACGACTAAAAAGTGGTATATTTACGACCAAAACATTGTCACCACTTTTGATTTTTGGTAAGACGACTCGTAAAAGCAAAAAGTATCAGCGGACAGCGAGTACCTATGCCGACTGGTACGACCAAAAAGTGATGAACACATGTACATATGCGCCGACTCTTAGACAAAAAAAAGTGGTGAATGTGCCGACTCGTGCGACCAAGAAATGATCAGAATGCCGCTCGGAGGGAAACATGGGACCGCTTCAGAAATCTCTCCGGGTGATGGATTAGATGAGGACATGCACTAGCACTGGTATTGGCAGCTTTGCCTACATTATGTCTTACTGGATATATGAAAATGATTTATCAGCAATCGCTAAAAATGAGCCAGAATTAGTGAGCACCCTATAACCAATTATCAATCATGTATATAGAGTTGTAGAAATAAAAAAACGTATCAAATGCAAATTACCCAACTATACACGTACGTTAACAGCGCGACCCGTGCTGGTCCATCAACTCTTTAACACCGGTCATCAAAACCCGCCTACGTTTTGTCATGGAACCCAGCCGAACCAATAACACGACTTGTCTGCCGATTGATTGATCGTGATGACAATGATCTATCGACTGCTGGAGCTTCACTGGCGCCCACCGGAGCCCCAAAATAGATAGTTCGAGCTATATGGGGAGACGAGTCTGTAGTACGGGTCAAACATATACGCTGCATTCTAAGAAACGCCTAACCGCAATTAGGTGGGAAATTAATGCTGATAACTGACCCTGCATGAAAATGATTCTCCTCATAGTTGGACTATTCTGAACAAATAAGCCGACTAAAGCTGTTGCGATCTTCGAATTGTAGCGATCTTCGAGCAGCTGTATCAATCTGCAGCTGCGGTATGTAGCTACGTATTGGTGTCCTACCCGCCCCTCTCCTAACCCATGGATCTCCCGCCAGTCGACCGTTGCCATCTACCCCACGCCCCAGGTGTAGGCTGATAAACGTGTCGTCATCTCTCCAAAGTGTACGTGGGCTGGTAAACGTGTTGTCTCTCTCCCAGTTGTACCGTTGGCTGATACCCGTGCTGCCACCTCCCCCCCCCCCTTCTCTCCCAGGTGTCCCGGCGGCTGATGAACCTGCTGGAGGACTCGGGGGCCGACGTGGAGGCGCTCTGTAACGGCCACTCGCCCACCACCCTGGCTCTGCTGACCGGTGACATGACCCTGGCCGTCGACCTGATGACACGCGGCGCCGACCCGCTCCGCCAGCTCGGACCGCCCCACTACGACGCGCTGGGCCTGGCCGTCTCTCCGGCAGTGGAGCCGGCCTTTCAGCTGGAGGAACGGAAACAGATGGTCAGTGCGCCCGCGACCTGGGCCCTGCAATCTGCATGAGTACAGAACAGCTCTTATAGCCATGTCTGTCCCCATTGATGATGCGAGCGAGTCCTGGTGTGTGTGTGCAGGGCGGGGGGGGGAGGGCAAATGTCACATGGATTGGAGGGAGGAGAAAATGTGTTTCGTTAATTGGGGAGAAAATGGGGGGGGGGATAATTCAGCTGATACTAAAGGGCAGTTGGCAGCGATAGCAGTGAGAGGTCTCGGACACGACGTAACGTGAGGCGCAGGTTTCGCCTGCCGTCAGCCGTTAGGAGGTGAATTCCGTTATTGGTCCTCAGAGTCTTCCGGAAGTGAAATAGTCGACCAGAGGCCTCTTGCACCAAAATCCTCTTGCACCAATGCTTGGATTATTTTGCATCGTATACCCAGTCCAAGTCTCAAATGTAACAATTTGCGTGCAAAATTTAGCAAGCACATGTAGGATTATGTATTGGGCTATTGCAAACAAATTTACCACCATTAGATTAGCTTATTCTGAAACCGGTTTTTCGATTTTACCTAGCTAGGTAGTTTGGTGCAAGAGGCCTCAGGCGAATACCTTGATGCGTCAATGTCGGGCATAATGCGAACAATGAAGATGGATGCTCCCATCTGTGTCAAAAATGCGAAAACACTTCGCATTTGCGCTCCTCTTCGGAATGGAGGCCATTTATTTAAATGTATTGTGCTGCAGAAAAACACCGTCATTTAGATGCCGATTGAAGAAAAATGCGTCATACAGTGCGGACGGTCCGAGAAATTCAGAGGAAGAACGCAGTAGGTTTGACCGAATAAACATGCAGAGACGGCGCTACTGTTTCAGGTGCGGACGCTGCTGGCCTACGGGAGTAACGTGCTGAACGAGTACCCTCTCGAGGAGGAGGGCAAGACGGGCAACATCCTCGAGTTCGCACAGTGGATCAACGTCACGGACGACACGTGAGAAAACGGGAACCCGTGCTTTATGTAGACGCTCGATGTTACTTAAAGTTTGAGAAACTGCATGATATATTCTGAAAATTCAGAATCATGCAGGATTCGCTCTTGGACTTTCACATATTGTATCGCCAATGGTGTAGCCGCTCCCCGGTGCTCCACCAAAAAGGACGTGCTCCGCGACTGGCTGTATTGCACAACGCCAACACTCGATATAGGTACTCGCCAACAACACACGCCTTTGCGTGACAATACTTGCCGTTGCTGCGAAAGAACAACATCGTTCAACGCCATGACACTGAAAACGACAACGAACATCCCTAAAACATCGTTTCTGAATTTTACGTAAATAAATAGCTAAATCGATCGGTCTGGCTCAAGCTTTCTAACATTGAAACATCGAACATCAATATAAATCAAAAACTAATCAGTACAGACAGATTCTTACCGGCAATTGCGCCCTCGAATGATATACTGGAACTCCAGCTGCACTCGGTGAAGCGGCTCAACGCTCTCCCGTTCGTCACCCCTCTCGTCACTTATCGAGCGCGCTCTCCCGTGCACTCTCCCGTTCGTTGTGCGCTCACACTCGCTACTCCGCTCGCTACTAGCTCTCCCGCTCGCCACTCAGACCAGACTGGCCCCTGGCCGCCGCCGCTCTCCCTCACCGCACTGACCCGGCCCATCGCTCCCGGGCACAGACACCACGTGACCTAGCCTGAGGTCACAGACAGAAAGTAAACTAGAGCGCGCAAACAAAGAGCCAGACCGAAACCAAAGAGCAGGGCAGGGAAGGATAGGGCACGGTAAAGGAAACGAAAAGAAAGAAAGGAACAAAAACATAATAACGTAGTCGGCGGCTACAAATGGGACTGACTTAAGTTCAAATTCTATATTGGTGGAAGCAAAGGGTTATCATAACGTCCTTTTATATAGACGTCTCTCCTTTGGAACGCTCCCGAGTTAAATTCCACCAGGCTCACGATTTCCATTTGTTCAGCTCCATTTCCCAGCCAGTCCGTCCCAGTCCCAGCACCCCACCTCGGTCCGATTGGCGGCGTTTGTCGACAGCCTGCTGACGGCGCCACCTCACCAGCTGAAGGGCGCCCAGCGCGGACAGAAGAAGCAGCGCGAGGCGTTCCTGGCGTTCCTCTCGGAGCTGGTCTCTGACGAGCTGCGGCGCCACCAGCACATGGCGCCGCTGGTCGAACAGGGCCTGTTCGAGGACGCCGAGCTGACCACGGCCGAGTACACCACCGCCTCGGGCGCGTCGCCAGCCGAGCCGGCCGCCGCCGACAGCTCGCCCGACGCCGGGCGCAGGAAGAGGAAAAGGAAACTGGTGGTGAGTGGCGAGAGGACGGTTGACAAGTGGCAGCTTTTTGAGATAGCCATGTGCTAGCAGGTGGGTGTTATAGCGCGTGCTAGTTGACTGAAGATAGCATGTCGGTCGTTTGATGGTGCCGCATCTACTGATTTCAAAAGTAGCTTTTCGCTTTTACAAATGGCCAAATTGCTTAGGTCACGACTCAAGAATAACGAGTAAAGCTGCATATAGTGCATATAAGTGTAGCCAGGATTCGTCCAATTTGTGACTGAGGCCCGCTTGTTGCAAGGTGCTATCGGCAGAATGTTTCTGTCCCATCTGTGATCGAGTCCTGGGCAAATGCTTCAAAGGCTGTCCTAACTACGGTCGGAGGACTCCAAAGCTAATGTCGGCCGAACTGCGCATGGACTCGTTCGCGTGAGTAGAAGCGACTGAATTATACGAATAGCGCATACGTAAACATTTACACGGCCACCAATGCAATCTATCCTCCCTCCTCTCTCTCTCTCTCTCTCTCTCTCTCTCTCTCTCTCTCTCTCTCTCTCTCTCTCTCTCTCTCTCCCTCTCTCTCTCTCTCTCTCTCTCTCTCTCTCTCTCTCTCTCTCTCTCTCTCTCTCTCGCTCTTCAATGTCAGCTCTTCTTGCAATCGATGATACACATTACACGGATGCAAAATGTTGTACGACTTGCGCATTTTACATATGTAAAAGCACAGACCTCTGAAGTGTTTGCCCGTGATATGAGAACCGGTCAGTTGGATACACTGAGAATTGTGAAGGGTCTGGCGATACGATCGCTCTGAGGAAGCGTTCGTGGCTCTGGGACAGGCTGTGGGATCATTACTGATGGAACGACCGCACTCGGCGGCGACCCTTGTTGTGCTGAGAAGGGCTCCAGAGAGCCCCACCCGGGTCCGCTCGTGACCAACAATGTGGTCACCGGACAGACTCAGTGGATGATTACCGGAACAAATTGTGGACAGTTCAACGAAATGTCTTGAGCATCACATAAAAATTAAAATAATTTATTTATTCAAATAAATAAGCAATATTTTCTCTGCAGATGCAGTACGAGATCTTTACGATATAATTTAAACATTGGACCATAAAGAGCTCATCAAATCGAGAAGAATGAATTGATTTTGGTATCCATTCCCTACCTAGTTACATTCTAAGATATGTAACTTATTTGTTCAAAATATGGCCATAAATACGTTTAAAACGCCGATGAAACAAGCACTGACAGCCTGACTCGCAATATTTTCGTCAGAGATGACCTGCTCAACTCGGATTCCGATGAAGACGCAAGCAAAGCAGGGAAGAAGGGCAAACGACGGAAAAGGAGGGCAGGTAGGTAATCGACTCGAGTAACAGTCACTTCTCGACCGTGGGGGTTTGTTTTGTGAATGTGTGCAATAACATTTGGGAAATCGGAAATATCGTTAGGCATAAAACACCATTTTTGCGACGTAATTACGTTCATATTTCTTTCAGCCAGCGCCCCCTGCTGGGAAGAGGATGCGAGGGGGAGTTGAACACAACATCCCCCTTGCGGTTTTGGCGAATATATGAAAAACATTTGCTTGGGTTTTATATCTCTGCTCATCATATTATACTCGTAATCCACACCAGCCGAACTTCGCCCCTTTTGGACGAGTCGTACAACCTTTCTCAAGCCTCAATTAACAGACAAATTAAACAATAAATTGTAAAATTGCACCCGCGTCTCCTATTAACCCTCGCCGGCCGGGGGGGGGGGGCGGGTGCCGCCCCCCATAGGGTTTTTTTCGCGATAGCTCCGAACACGCTGGCGATAGAGCTGAAACTTGGCATACCTGACCTTTGATTCAAGCCGGATCTTTTGACACCAACCGCATTTTTGGATCAGGTCAGGTCACTGACCTATGACGTCATAAGTGAACCTCTGCACGGTCTTCAGATGTCGCAACTTCGCAACGCCCTCACTGCCAGAGGAGATGTCACAGGGAAATGAAACTTGCAGGATCTAGTATCCATTATGAGTCTCACAACTTGTATATCTCGGATTTTTCCTAAAGGTCATATGAGGTCAGGTCATTTTCGTGACCTCACCATTATAAGTCAATGGGGAAAAATGAAAACTGCTATTCTGGCGCCGAGAACGATCTCCAACTATCTCAAGCACACAGAATCGTGATTTGATGCACTCCTTGCAAGGTTAGATGCGTTACTTTTGCAATGTTGACCTTGCGTGACGTCATTTATGACGTCATCAAGGTCATATTAGTTTTTCGTCGATAACTCTTGATCAAATTGAGCTAGCGAGTCGGGAAAGCCACCAATGGACTCAGGAAGACCTGCCGAATCGAATGATATGCGACATGACCTCTTTTGACCAACTTCGTGACCTGGGGGTGCTGACCTGACCTTGACCTGAGGTCAACACCCCAAGTTGACCTGACCCGAACAAAAAGTATATCATTCGACGCGCCTGAGCGAGGCGAACACGATGCTGCCAAAATCGCGGCTCTGCGGCCGTTTTTTGCGAAGTTATTCACCAAAAACGGAACCGTACCTTGGGGCACTTGACCTGACCTCAGAGGTCACCGGTTGACCTAGGACCTTAAAATTGGGTACCAATCTCTGCGTCTCGTAACGGCACACACGCTCGTTTTTTTCCGCGACGCGCTAGCTCCACCAGGGGCGGAACGGCGAGGGGGGTCGTACCCGCCCCCCCCCCCCCTCGGCCGGCGCGTATGTAGAAAACCAATAGGTCCGGCGAGGGTTAAATGTGTGTATGACCTGCCTGTCATACACACATTAAATTAAATAATGTGCCTAATTTAACCCGCGCCCTGCTGGGGAGGGTGTTTGAACACCCCCCTTGTGGTTTTTCGCGAATATCTCAAAAACGGCGGCGCGGAGCGCCGCCGTTTTTGGTACACCTTATCATACATCAATTCTACACATGTTGTGAAAATTTCAGACCAAGGTCATTCAAGGTCAGGTCACCAGGTCACTTGAAGTGACCTCACCTCATAAAAAGTTTCAATATCTGTCATAGCTACATCGAGTGACCGATCGCTTTGAAACTTTCAGCCATTGCTAAGAGCAATAGCATGTACAAAATGTATATCTCAGAATTTTGATATCGATGACCTAAGGTCAGGTCAATTTTGCGACCTCCCCATTAGGGTAGACCGGGGCAAGTCGCCCCGCCGAGGTAAAACGCCTCACCGATGTTTCTCGGAACTGGCAAGGTTCTGGAGAAAGACGTCTGTCAAGACAGCCTCAGATTCAGATTCACTTTCAGAATCACATTCGGACCCCCTTAGATTTTCATAAAAACTGGTCCATGGGTACAGTTTTGGACGCTGATTCCAATGGTGAAGTCTGTTTTTCGCCACATATTATACTTTGGGCCCTAGAGGCATTCAAAGTTTTTTTGGGGCGAAGGGGGACCCCCTTAGATTTTCATAAAAACTGGTCCATGTGTACAGTTTTGGACGCTGATTCCAACGGTGAAGTCTGTTTTTCGCCACATATTATACTTTGGCCCCTAGAGGCATTCAAAGTTTTTTGGGGCGAAGGGGGACCCCCTTAGATTTTCATGAAAACTGGTCCATGGGTACAGTTTTGGACGCTGATTCCAATGGTGAAGTCTGTTTTTCGCCACATATTATACTTTGGCCCCTAGAGGCATTCAAAGTTTTTTTGGGGCGAAGGGGGACCCCCTTAGATTTTCATAAAAACTGGCCCATGGGTACAGTTTTGGACGCTGATTCCAATGGTGAAGTCTGTTTTTCGCCACATATTTACTTTGGGCCCTAGAGGCATTCAAAGTTTTTTTTGGGCGAAGGGGGACCCCCTTAGATTTTCATAAAAACTGGTCCATGTGTACAGTTTTGGACGCTGATTCCAACGGTGAAGTCTGTTTTTCGCCACATATTATACTTTGGCCCCTAGAGGCATTCAAAGTTTTTGGGGCGAAGGGGGACCCCTTAGATTTTCATAAAAACTGGTCCATGGGTACAGTTTTGGACGCTGATTCCAATGGTGAAGTCTGTTTTTCGCCACATATTATACTTTGGGCCCTAGAGGCATTCAAAGTTTTTTTGGGGGGCGAAGGGGGACCCCCTTAGATTTTCATAACTGGTCCATGTGTACAGTTTTGGACGCTGATTCCAACGGTGAAGTCTGTTTTTCGCCACATATTATACTTTGGCCCCTAGAGGCATTCAAAGTTTTTTTGGGGAAGGGGACCCCCTTAGATTTTCATAAAAACTGGTCCATGTGTACAGTTTTGGACGCTGATTCCCATGGTGAAGTCTGTTTTTCGCCACATATTATACTTTGGCCCCTTAAGGGATTCAGATTCACTTTCAGAATCACATTCGGACCCCCTTAGATTTTCATAAAAACTGGTCCATGGGTACAGTTTTGGACGCTGATTCCAATGGTGAAGTCTGTTTTTCGCCACATATTATACTTTGGGCCCTAGAGGCATTCAAAGCTGTTTTGGGGCGAAGGGGGACCCCCTTAGATTTTCATAAAAACTGGTCCATGTGTACAGTTTTGGACGCTGATTCCAACGGTGAAGTCTGTTTTTCGCCACAGATTATACTTTGGCCCCTAGAGGCATTCAAAGTTTTTTGGGGCGAAGGGGGACCCCCTTAGATTTTCATAAAAACTGGTCCATGTGTACAGTTTTGGACGCTGATTCCAATGGTGAAGTCTGTTTTTCGCCACATATTATACTTTGGGCCCTAGAGGCATTCAAAGTTTTTTTTGGGGCGAAGGGGGACCCCCTTAGATTTTCATAAAAACTGGTCCATGTGTACAGTTTTGGACGCTGATTCCAACGGTGAAGTCTGTTTTTCGCCACATATTATACTTTGGCCCCTAGAGGCATTCAAAGTTTTTTTTGGGGGAAGGGGGACCCCCTTAGATTTTCATAAAAACTGGTCCATGTGTACAGTTTTGGACGCTGATTCCCATGGTGAAGTCTGTTTTTCGCCACATATTATACTATGGCCCCTAGAGGCATTCAGATTCACTTTCAGAATCACATTCGGACCCCCTTAGATTTTCATAAAAACTGGTCCATGGGTACAGTTTTGGACGCTGATTCCAATGGTGAAGTCTGTTTTTCGCCACATATTATACTTTGGGCCCTAGAGGCATTCAAAGTTTTTTTTGGGCGAAGGGGGACCCCCTTAGATTTTCATAAAAACTGGTCCATGTGTACAGTTTTGGACGCTGATTCCAACGGTGAAGTCTGTTTTTCGCCACATATTATACTTTGGCCCCTAGAGGCATTCAAAGTTTTTGGGGCGAAGGGGGACCCCTTAGATTTTCATAAAAACTGGTCCATGGGTACAGTTTTGGACGCTGATTCCAATGGTGAAGTCTGTTTTTCGCCACATATTATACTTTGGGCCCTAGAGGCATTCAAAGTTTTTTTGGGGGGCGAAGGGGGACCCCCTTAGATTTTCATAACTGGTCCATGTGTACAGTTTTGGACGCTGATTCCAACGGTGAAGTCTGTTTTTCGCCACATATTATACTTTGGCCCCTAGAGGCATTCAAAGTTTTTTTGGGGAAGGGGACCCCCTTAGATTTTCATAAAAACTGGTCCATGTGTACAGTTTTGGACGCTGATTCCCATGGTGAAGTCTGTTTTTCGCCACATATTATACTTTGGCCCCTAGAGGCATTCAGATTCACTTTCAGAATCACATTCGGACCCCCTTAGATTTTCATAAAAACTGGTCCATGGGTACAGTTTTGGACGCTGATTCCAATGGTGAAGTCTGTTTTTCGCCACATATTATACTTTGGGCCCTAGAGGCATTCAAAGCTGTTTTGGGGCGAAGGGGGACCCCCTTAGATTTTCATAAAAACTGGTCCATGTGTACAGTTTTGGACGCTGATTCCAACGGTGAAGTCTGTTTTTCGCCACATATTATACTTTGGGCCCTAGAGGCATTCAAAGTTTTTTGGGGCGAAGGGGGACCCCCTTAGATTTTCATAAAAACTGGTCCATGTGTACAGTTTTGGACGCTGATTCCAATGGTGAAGTCTGTTTTTCGCCACATATTATACTTTGGCCCCTAGAGGCATTCAAAGTTTTTTGGTGCGAAGGGGGACCCCCTTAGATTTTCATAAAAACTGGTCCATGGGTACAGTTTTGGACGCTGATTCCAATGGTGAAGTCTGTTTTTCGCCACATATTATACTTTGGCCCCTAGAGGCATTCAAAGTTTATTTGGGGCGAAGGGGGACCCCCTTAGATTTTCATAAAAACTGGTCCATGTGTACAGTTTTGGACGCTGATTCCAACGGTGAAGTCTGTTTTTCGCCACATATTA